TAAGCACTACTGTGCACAGCATTACATACATTGGCTGGTGACCTGACTTTACAAGGCTCAACAAAAATCAGCATCTCTGACCCTAGAGCCAACAGTGCTTATGGTAGCTGCCCCTTCCTCTGCTTCCCTCTAAGACAGGATCACCTGGTCCAGCCAGGTACCATCTGTGCCCTCTTCCCCCTTCATTCACCACACAAACATGGACTTACCGGGTTTCCCACAGTCGGCACATATGGCGTTTTCTTCTCTCCTCCACACTTCCTTGAGGGCCATACCAGTCCTGTGATTTTTTGCAGCCATTGGCAGTCTGGATTCCTCTAAGCAGCACAGAACTGGCTTCCTATACACCTGGAATCACACTCCCACCTCAAGAAAGAGAGACCTTTTTGTGCAAAGAGAAGTGTGGCCACCAGGATAACGTGTGCAGAGGCAGCTGGAGTATTAGAAACTGGCCGTAGCAAAACAGATTCAGGCCGAGGTGAGCTGGGCTCAGGGAGCAGCAGCAGCAGCAGCAAAGGAAGCCAAGCCTGTGGGTGCAAAAGGAAGTACAGTTAGGAACCACGAAACCGGTTTTTCCACATCTCTTACAGCTAAAGGACGAGCCACGCACTGGCAGCACGCAAACTGATAAATGCAGCACTGCCCACATTGGGCTCTTAATAACACAATATGTTACTATGCCAGCATTTGATAAGAGAAGAGAGTGATTGCATATAAGCTTGCGAACATCCAGGTGGGGCCTGGAGATCTCCTGGAATTAGAACTGATCTCCAGACTGATCAGCCACCCTGGAGAAAATGGCTGCATTTGTAGGGTGGACTTCATGCCATTACATGCTGTTGAGGTCCTTCCCTTCCCCAAACCCTGCCTTTCCATTCCCCAGCTCTGCCCTCAAAGTCTCCCAGAATCCCTCAACCTGGATTTGGCAAGCCTAGCTTTTAAACCTATAAAAATAATGGCTTTGGTGTTGACGTTGTTTGCAGATTTTTAAAAAAGACAAACCCAAAGGATCGACAGCATGAGCCACAGGAGGACCATGATCATAAAACAAATCAGCAGCTGGGAAGGCCTAGAGAGCCATAGTTCCCACTCTGCCAACTTCTTCCATGACAGTAAGTCTTCATGGTGGCTTTGAAAGGATTCATGTACCTGATCCAGATAAAGCTGCCAACTCCAGCTGGTGAAATTCCTGGAGATTTAGGGGTGGGGTTGCAGCCAGGGGACAATGGAGTTTGGGGAGGGAGGGAGGAGCTGATCTCTGTTGTCTGGAGATTCTATAGTGTGTGTGTATGTCATGTCGAGGCTCTGTCAATGCTAGGTTTTTCTTGTCAGCTGTGAAATGGTCTGTGCATGATCACAGATTGGGATGGGAAATTAAGTTAAAAATTCACCCCATGATGTGCCCACAAATCCAGATGCTGTTGTTACAATGGCCACACACAAAAAAGTACGTGCACTGCATACACTCTGCATCATCTTAACACACCAAAACATCATTTTTAAAAATAAGATCACTTAGGATGAGTATAGTGTTTTGAGTGCTAAAATACTGAAATTGAAACACATTATTATTTCTTATTATTTTTTTATTTATAATTTTTATTTTACAACATAACCAACGTATACAACAAACAATTAACTGTAAGCTTATTTAAAAGTAAATCATATTATGATACAGAGTGTTCCGTGGAAGAATATATTTTTCCATTAAGTAATTTATAATTGGAAACCAAACTGATACCACTTTTTTCTCATATTGTGTAACAGATTTTTTATACAAATTAAATGACAATTTGCTCAAAATAAAGTAGTCCCATATCTTTATAAGCCATTGTTGCACTGTGGGAGGTTTCCCCCCTATCCATTCTATTGCTATCAATGATTTTGCTATTGTTAACAATAACGAAACTATTTCCCTTTGTCTTGATATCCCCAGCCCTCCCCTGGAGATTGGCAACAATGGTCCCCCAGGAGGAAATGGCTGGTTTGGAGGGTCGACTCTATGGCACTGTACCTGTCTGGGGTCCCACCCCCTTCTCAAACCCCAAATTCTCCAGGCTCAAATCTCCATGAAATCTCCAGGAATTTCCATACCTAAAGTTGGCAACTTTATCTCCTCCCCTCTCAGCAGCCTCTTCCTAGGCAAAGTTCTGTCTTTTTCGTTAGTGGGGAGCAAAGCAGCTTACTTCATTCTCCTCTTCTGCTTTGTGATCTGTACAGGAACCCTGAAAGGTAGGTTAGGCAGAAAGTCTGGGGCTGGTCCAAAATCACCCAGGCAGCTTCCATAGGGAGGTTCCTGATGAAAAGGAGCAAGCAGCCAGTGCTAGTGAAGTAATGCTAGTCAGGAGGCATAAAGTCACCCTGAGAGTGCCGGCAGGCCTATGGTTGTCAACAAAGACAAATTGATGCAAACGAGGATGGAAAAGTCTCCATATCTGTTTTGCCTTAAATTGGTTTTGATGCCAGCAGAGTGAGAAAATGGCAGAGGATCTGGATGGGTGCCCCATGGTAAATGGACCAAACAGTTCCTAAAGATTTTCCAAAACACTACTCTGTCCATAATTCATTTTCTACACTCACATCATCCCCTGTCAGAATGCAACATATCCCCAGCACTTTGAATTAACACCAGAGCTTTTAAAGCTCTCCAGCTGTCACCTGGAGATTGGCAACAGTTTGTTTGGAGGGTGGGGTCTATGGCATTGTATCTGTCTGAGGTCCCCCTCTTCCTCCTCCTCAGACCCCACCCTCAGCAGGCTTCATCCCTAAAATATCCTGGAAGTTTCCAACCTGGAGTTGGGAACCCTATGTCCTTTCCAGGCAACCATCAGCCTACCTTTATCTGCCTGTCTGTCTTCAGGTTTACATTCCCACCACCACCACCACAGCCTCTGCCTAGGGAAAGGGCAGTCTTTCCCTGCAGTGGGAACCAAAGCAGCTGACATCATTCTCCTCTCCCCCGTATGATCCGCACAACAACCCTGTGAGGTATGTTAATGTTGAAAGTCTGTGAATGGACCATAATCCCCCAAGCAGCTTTTATAACATGAACCTGGGACCTGCACACCATCCTCTGAAGTGCTCTCAGGTACATACCTGTGACAGTAATGGGATGGCTGCTGGCACCTTTTCCTATCATTTTTTGCCTTGTGGTATTCTGCTTGTAGTGTGATCTGTCTTTTTTGTGGTGTGGCATGGTTGTGTTATTGGATTTGTTTCTTTTCAAGGGGACGTGATGTGTTGTGAGTGAGGACATATTTTATTTATTTATTTATTTATTTATTATTTACATTTCTATCCCGCCCTCCCCGGAGGCTCAGGGCGGCTTACAAGGCATATCGCCAGATAATACAATAGAACAATAGAAAACATTAAAATATTAAAATACATCACAGTAATGAACAAATTTTGGTGCTCCTCTCCTAAAAACAAGATGGCCGTCCCCTAAAACGTCCCATTCTCACCCAAGGTGCCCGCATCATGGTGACCTTGATGGCCTTCTCATTCCTGGCCTTCTCATTCCTGGCAGTGGCTTAACAGCATGCATTGAGGAAGGCTGGCAACAGTGCCCTTTTGAACCTTCTGCCTGTCTGTCCCTACGTGGTCACAATGCCTGCGCTAGAATGAATGCATCTTAGTTAAATATCTAGAAGAGCTGATAACTTCTCTCTATACCCCTGAATGCACAGATTTACTTGGAAATCCGTTGTACAGTTCACTGATGTGATCTCGTCTAGGAAGATCCATCAACAGCCTGGCTGCAGCGTTCTGCACTAGTTGCAGCTTCCGAATTTGCAACAAAGGCAGCCCCATGTAGAGAGCGTTACAGTAGTCTAGCCTCGAGGTAACCGTCTTTTACCTCAGAATACACCAGGTCGCATATGCAACTGACAGTTCCAACTGTCTGGGGGGGGGGAGATTGAGGTGCAGAATGAAGTCCAATCAGCTTCCATATGCAAATGACCTTGAAACGCTGGCACAATCAGAGAAGAGTGGCCTAGGCTGCAGTGGGTGGGAGAGAACTCAGCCAACACAGCCAGTGGATAGAGACAGGGAGCCAACTGATTTTGGAGTGCATAGAATGTTGCCAGACTAAAATGCAATTATGTAGGGTAGAAGAGATTCTACCAGTGCAGTTATTTGAATGGTACAAGATAACACACCTTGTTGAGTACATTTTTATCCATCCAGTCCTTCCTCCAGGGAGTTCATTGTCTTCCTTTCCCCATCCTTCTTACAACACCCTTGTAAAATGGGTTATGCTGTATGTGTGTGCACACCCACAGGTGTGAACCTAAATTTGAACTCAGGTTTACTATTCTAACTATTGTATAGCACTAATGGTGCAACCCTATGCAGGGTTACACCCATCAATGGGGTCAGACTGCTGAAACTCTGCGTAGGACTGCACTGTAATTCTCCCCCAAAATAGCTAGGGAGAACAGTTTAGGATACCAGTGTTCCCCCCGCGCCCCCATTTCCCAAAGTCAGGGCTGATTCTGGGCGCCCGTCAGGGCTGAACCCTGCATGAAAATAAGAGCAAAATGAAAGTGCTCCGGAGCAGATGCAGAGGGCATTTCCTTCCCAGTGGCTGCAGGGCGTCCCCTCACGCCAGGCATTAAAAGCTTGCGGGTGAGAGGCCGTTGTCTCCAGAGAGAATCAAGGTCCAGGGGTCCCGCATTTTTGTTGAAATTAATCTTTGCAGTCAGCAGGAGTTACCCAATGAAAGGCGTCTTTTCACAAACAGAAGTCTGAGGCGCCTGAGAGGGATTTTCACTGTGGCATGGACTTTCCCGGACTGCCGTCACTCACTGGCCACTCCTTTTCATTACTGAGTCGAAAACCCCGCGGGAGGTACCGGGTGTTCTCCCCTCCTTTCCTAGGAGGGAAGCGGCCAGCAAGGGGCGCTGTGCAACTGCTCGCCACCGCAAAGAGGAACCAGAAGAGGCGGCGTTTGCCTCGCCGGGCCCGGTGGCCGCTGCTCCTCCTCCTCCACCGCCTGGGCGGAAGTAGCTTCGCTGGTGTCCACGATGGGTCGCAAAAACAAGAAGAATCGGCAAGACGGCGCCTCGGAACTCCGGCGAGTCATCACCTTCGATGAGGAGAGTCGACGGTAAGTCGTAGGGAAGGAGGATGAAGAAGGAAGGAGTAGTAGGGGAGGATGGCATGACTGGGCTCCCTTCCTGCACACACACGTTACAGAGCGAACCCACGTGCATCCTGAAAACAACACTGGGGACCAGTACCTTGGGGGGGGGGGGAGTAACATTGCGGCTTCAGCTGTGTACGAATGACTTAATGTATGTACATTACAAAGAAAAATCATATGTATACTGTCCATGCATGGTATGCACGTTCATTGAACCGTGTACACTGTGACTGGGCTGGAATGCTGTGTTGCCACGAAGGGAGGGAGGATACCCTCGTCGCGCCTTTCCCGGATATCTAGATTGTCCTCCCCACTCCGGCAGAGGAATACAGCAAGTTACCAATTTGGGAAGCATCGACTTTATCCGTTTCTAAGAGAGCCAGTTTGGTGTAGTGGTTAAGTGAGTGGGCTCTAATCCGTGAGAACCGGGTTTGATTCCCCACTCCTCCACTTGCACCTGGCTGGATGACCTTGGGCAAGCCATAACTCTGGCACAGCTGTCCTTGAAAAAGAGCAGTTTCTGCCAAGAGCTCTCTCAGCCCCACCTACCTCACAGGGTGTCTGTTGTGGGGAGAGGAAGGGAAAGGAGTTTGTAAGCCTCTGAGACACCTTTGGGTAGTGAAGGGCGGGGTATAAATCCAATCTCTTCTTCTTCGAAGGCATCTTCCTCTTTTAGTGTATGTTCATGGGCACAGCCCCTACAGCCTAATTAATACATACATTTTTGGATGGGAGTGGCATCTTCTTCAGTGGGACTGATTCAGGTCTGAGTGAGAGAACTGGAGTGTGTGAGATTCAAAATAGACCTGGTTCTTGCTGAGGTGTACATTTCTGTGTCTGAACTGTGCTGCTCTTTAGGTAGGTACAGGTAAAGGTCTCCCTTGCTCAAAAGCCAGTCGAGTCCGACTCTACGGTTGTGGTGCTCATCTCCGTTTCCAAACCGAAGAGCCAGCGCTGTCCAAAGACGTTTCCGTGGTCATGTGGCCGGTATGACTTAACGCCGAGGCACACAGAACGCACTTTTTAGGTAACAGACGGTTAAACAGGCTTCCATACAAAACTACTCCCTGCATATAGAATATATACAAGTCAAGGAGAAGGCTAGGCTAGGTACCTGCCATGTCAGTTACCCGTTCTCTGTATGGTGTATTCAATCATGTTGGCTCCTGCCATTTGTCTGAACTGGTACAACCCAGACACAGACTTACCACTGATGTGAGGACTAGGCACGAGGGCTTTGGCTCCAGTGAACTTTGTGGGGTGGGAAAATGGCGGTATCTTTTAGGTAATGAATGTGTTTCAACCAGATCTTGTACCTCATTTCAAAATGTGATTATGTTTATCCCCCTGGTTTAGAGTTTCCATTAAAAAGGAGACATTTAGTTGATGTCTTCTCTATTTATCAACTTATTTATTTATTTATTATTAAATTTCTACCCCACCTCCCAGCCACGGCCGGCTCAGGGCGGCTTACACTAAAATCAGCACATAGTTTACAATAAAACTTAAAATATAAATTAAGTTAAAATAATTATAAAACCATATAGTAAAGTGCTAGTGACATTGATTTCATAATGACTGCTATTCAGTTCTCTCTTCTCACAGTCGGTTCTTCGATCTTCTTTGATTGTCTTTCCAGCGGTTGGCTCAGGCTCTCTGACCCTCGGCTCTCAGTTCTTAATGGTGGTGGCGGCTCCAAAAGCCTGGTGGAAGAGCTCCATTTTACAGGCCCTGCAGAACTGTAAAAAATCCCGCAGAGCCCTGATCTCCTCTGGGAGCTCATACCACCAGAGAGGAGACGCCACCGAGAAAGCCCTGGCCCTGATTACTGCCAGCATGGCCTCCTTAAGACCTGGGAGGGCCAGTCGGTGCTGGGCCTCTGATTGTAGTGCTCTCTGGGGTACATGTGGGGAAAGGCGGTCCCTCAGGTATGTAGGACCCTGGCCATATAGGGCTTTAAAGGTTAGAACCAGCACCTTGAAGCGAATCCGGTATGCTATAAGCAGCCAGTGCAATGCCTTTAGCACAGGTTGGATGTGCTCCCGAGTAGGGAGTCCCATCAACAGCCTGGCCGCGGCATTTTGCACCAGCTGCAGCTTCCGGATTTGCGACAGGGGCAGCCCCATGTAGAGAGCATTACAGTAGTCCAATCTCGAGGTGACCATCGCGTGGATCACCATTGCCAAGTCATTGTGTTCAAGGAAGGGAACCAGCTGCCTGATCAGCCGGAAATGATAAAAGGACAGTTTGGCAGTGGCTGCTACCTGGGCCTCCATTGTTAAGGAGGTGTCTAGGAGCACTCCCAGACTCCTAACCTCCGGCGCTGGCACCAAAGGAGCCCCATCAAAGGTTGGAAGCAGGATCCCTACCCTCAGACCGCCCCAACTTAGGCACAGGACCTCCATCTTTGTCAGATTCAGTTTCAGCCGGCTCAGTCCAGATCTTCTGGTTTGGAGTCAGACTGGCCACCCAACAACAGATAGAGCTGGGTGTCATCCACGTACTGGTGACATCCCAGCCCATGCCTCTGGGAAATCTGGCCAGGGGGGCACATATAGATGCTAAAAAGCATTGGGGACAGCACTGCCCCTTGAGGCACTCCACAGTCTAGTGGGTGCCTGCAGGATAGCTGTTCCCCCATTGCCACCCTTTGTCCCCAACCTTGGAGAAAGGAAGCAAGCCACTGCAAGGCCAGTCCCTGGACTCCAGTGTTCGCGAGGCGGTGGATCAGTAGCTGATGGTCGAACGCTGCCAACAGGTTTAACAGCAACAGCACTGCCGTTCCGCCCCGATCCAGATGCCTCTGGAGGTCGTCTGTGAGGGTAACCAGTGCCATCTCCATCCCACAGCCCGGGTGAAAACTGGACTGCAAGGGATCTACAATGAAAGCATCATCCAAGAAGCCCTGTAACTGAACCACCACTGCCCTCTCTATTATCTTGCCCAAACAGGGCAAGTTGGAAACTGGCCGATAATTAGCCAATTAGACTTACAATTGCATAATCCTATTTGAGTCTCATTGAGAAAAGTGGACTACAAATACAGTAAATAAACAGATATATTTTCAGCTATCACTACAACAGGAGAAAAAAGTGCAAAAAAAAAGTACTTTGTCACTTGGTGAACTGGGCAGTTCTGGACATGTATAGGTGTGTCCACATGGAGAATTACAGGGGTTGTTAAGTGGCTAGGAGCAGGATCCATATAATTTGCCTACTACTTAACTTTTATGTACCAGTTGCCAGTGGTTTTGTGTGAGGGCATAGAGCATCATAGCATGTATCAGGATATCCTGATCCTTCTGTCCCTTCCTATGACTGAGACCCAAGGCTGATGGCCAATTATTACAAGCTCCCTCTTGTTAGATTGAAAAAAGAATCTCTTTATTTCTTTGGAACTTTTTCTTATGTCAGTTAGTTTGCAAATAATTACTTTTATTTATCTTTTTCAAACCTTTTCTAATAGATTTTTGCAGAGGTCATTTCGGGGGGGATCGCGGGGGAACACAGTTCCCCCGGGTGAGGTACGGGGGGCGGGGCACATGACGAAGCCCCGCCCCCTGCTTCCGGCCGCCCCGCTTCCGGCCCTCATTCAGCCAGGAGGAGGCAGGAGAAGAGGGAGGGTAAGTTGCTTCCTCCCCGCCTCTCCCCACCCCTGCCTGCCTGGGGCCAGGGAGGGCCTTGGCGGGGCTTCCTCGCACTCCCGCTGGCCTTGCAAGTCCACCGCCGGGCCCCTGATGTCAGGGGGTGTGGCATATGCTAATGAGTTATGCTAATGTGTTCCCCTAGCTCTTTTTCTACAAAATGACCCCTGGATTTTTGTCATACCCATTGTTTAGGCACGGGTAGTTGCATGGTTTTATCTTATGCTTCTGTATGCTTAATCTCTTGTTGTACAAAAGGTTACTTGCGGGCAACTTAAATGATGTGTTTTGTTTGCCGATTGTATGTGGTAAGCTTATTTGTGAATAGGGTTGCCAAGTCCCCCCAGGGGGCGGCAAAAACCCCGCCTGAGAGGCCCGTTCCCCACTGGCGGGGACCCCACCCCCAAAGTGCGTGACGTGCCCGGCGTGAACATACCACCTGGAGGTGACGCAATTGCGTCGGGCACGTTGCGGGGGGACGCTATATCATCCAAGGGAAAACTCTGTGGTTTCCCTTCAGATGATTGTGGCCCCACCCCCAACGTGTATGATGCGATTGCGTCACTTCCGGGTGACGGGAGGCTCCAGGGGAAATCTGGGACCGGGACTCCCCTTGCTATTAAAAGGTAGGCCTTGGCAACCCTATTTGTGAAATTCCACAGGAGGAAAGTGGCTCTCTTTTTGGCTTCATGTAGCTAACTTACCATGGTTGCATTCCCAGGGAATACTTGACAGGATTCCACAAGCGAAAGGTTGAGAGGAGGAAAATAGCTGTGGAAGAGATAAAGCGCAAACTAAAGGAGGAACAACAGAAGATGAAGGAAGAGGTACTGCATCTTTTGGTGTCGTGGAGAAGAGAGATGGCTGACTGTGCAACAGGTTACAATGGGTGAAGCAGGGAGGTTTTCTGCTGAAACAAACCGCAAACACCTACCCTCTTTCCAGGGCAGGCTGCAAAGGGCAGGGGGGGAGTCTGTTTTTGTTACAGGCTGTGTACAGTTTTTGTTCCCAAAATTATGAAGATAAATTTTGCTTTTATTAAGTGCCACATGCATCAGGAATGAGGAACTTGAAGTTCAAGCTGGCCTGCTGTGGTTGAGGGGTGGGTACGGCTTGATACAAAGAATGTGGTGTTGAGGTGAGACCACTCTCCTTTAGAGGCTGTGCCTTTATACAACATCTTGTTTAAACCGGGACAGGCCAAGCAGCTAGTTCTGTCCCTACCCTAGATCTCAAAGAGGGTCGTAATAGTTCAGCATTCGGCCAGCCTTCCATAATGATAAAGTATAGCTGAGCTCTTGTAGTATTATGTTTCCACAGCTAATGGAAGCACATGAAAGGTGCTTAGGAGTTACCTAGTGTGCCGCTTTCGTCCAGTTTTCCCCTCCATGTTCACAAAAATGGCTTGTGACAATATGGGGCCTTTAGCATTAAACCAACTGGGAAGTCCATGGAAGTCCAGTCTACCATGAAAGCTGCAAATGTTTTGGAGGATGCTAGCTGCCAATTGCTGATGCCAAGGAAGTTTCTCCTAAGATAAACTGGCTATGACCAGTTAAAAAGTTGTAAATGTTGAAGAGTTACTATTAGATTTATGCATTCATTCCCTGACATTTTGTGGTTAGGGTGCACCTTCTGCGGCAGCTTTTTTTTTGGTTGCACCCACCAGCCTGTCAGAATTCCAGAGTGCCCACAGGTTCAAAAAGGTTGGCGGCCCCTGCTCTAGGATATCATTGAGTGTGTGTAGAACTCTCTCAATAACTTTCACCTTCCATTGTTTCTCCTGGTTTTCTAGTTTGAGAGATGCAAGCCAATCCTATAAACAACTAGGTCCTGCTAAGTTCTGCATACTTACTTGTAGGCAAGTCTGTGTAGGGCTGCAGCTTTAGTAGGCTCCGGCACTAGCTTTGTAATGTGTGCCTGGACGGTGTCATCTTACGTGCAAACCAGTTTTAAAAATCCCTGTTTTGAATGCTTTTCGGTTTTATCATATTTGTATTTTATTAATTTGTGAGCTGCTTTGAGTGGGTTTTTTTTAAGTGGCATATAAGTAGCTTAAATAAATGAAATAAAGAAATAACTTCCTAATGCCCCGCTCTGGAGGAATCAATAGCAAGGTGGGTGTTTGGGGAGGTAGGCATTCAACTGATATTTGGGAGAAACCAAGCAAGCAGTTGATGATCTGAAAATGATCGGGGTTTGTTTGTGTTTGTTTTTTATGTGTAGCGCCACAAGGAATACATGAAGATGCTGAAGGAGAGAGAGGAAGCCTTAGGTGAGTATCCTTTCTTATGGTGGAACCATTGCAGTTCGGCTCAGTTTGGAGGGGGAAAGAGAGCAGAGTGTATGGAGTGAGTGGTTTGGAAGTGGTGGTCTGCAGTCTATCTTCTATGACTTTTTAAATTTTATTTTATTTATTTAGGCATTTTTACCCCACCCTCCCCGCAAGCGGGCTCAGGGCGGCTTACAAGGGGCAAGAGCCCATGCATAAAACCCAGTAAGACAATAAAATCATAAATAATAACAGTAATAACAATCATAAAGTGCTTTCTGTGAACAAGATGGTCTTGAGTGGTTATGATGGCATCTTCAAATCAACCCCATTGGGGTACCACTGTCCAGTAGCTTGTTCATGCCAATCCCACGTTGTCAATGCCACGCAAATTTATGGCTGAGCTTCCAGGGCGATCCCTAATCCCAATGGTATTACCACCATTGGTGGTGGTGGCAGTGGCGGTCCCTATGCGAAAGCCTGGCGGAAGAGCTCCGTCTTGCAGGCCCTACGGAATTGCATAAGGTCCCGCAGGGCCCTGATCTCCTCCGGGAGCTCGTTCCACCAGGTAAGGGCCGCCACTGAGAAGGATCTAGCCCTGGTCGCAGCAAGCTTTACCTCCCGGGGACCTGGGATCACCAGACGGTTTTGGGTCCCCGACCAAAGTGCTCTTGGGGGTATATGTGGGGAAAGGCGGTCCCTCAGGTAGGTCGGACCCTGGCCATGTAGGGCTTTAAAGGTAAGTACCAGCACTTTGAAGCAGATTCGGTATGCTATTGGCAGCCAGTGCAGCGCCTTCAGCCCAGGCCAAATGTGCTCCCACTTGGGGAGACCCATCAACAGCCTGGCCACCGCATTCTGCACTAGCTTAAGCATGTATGTTTTCCATGAGGTAAGTTGTATTGTATATTATTTATTTATTTATTTATTTTGGGATTTATATCCTTCCCTACCCGTACGGCCCAGGGCGGCAAACAAGCGGCAACGCCGGAAATAAAACATAGATTACATTAAAACCTCAATAAATACAAACTAAAATGGTGCTATACAGTTCATTTTAAAAGTTCATTTTAAAAGTTCAAGATGGTAGATGTCCCTCACTGGCGGCCGATGGTATAAATGTAAGAGCGCCAGGGTGATGTTCCTCTTCTGGGCGACGTCTACCCCCGTCCAAGCCAGGTAGATGGTAAATCCGCCACAATGGTGGTATAGTGGCAGCGGCGGCGGCTCCTACTCAAAAGCCTGGCGGAAGGTTAGATTGTAGGCAGGAGAAGGTCAGTAAAGATCACTAGAAGTTTCTAGCTGCAGAGTTGTATAGGCATGGGGAGGAAAGTAGTACTGCAGCATGTGAGAAAAGCTCAGACAGGAGATCGAGCAGTTCCTAGCATAACATCTCCAGTTTGATTGGGGGAGTTGCTCTCAGAATTCTGTGTTCTCCCTTTAACCTCTTCAGACGAGGCTGACCAATTGGAGTATATGGTGACCTCACAGAAGGAGTTGATGAGCTACGATCACCCAAACCACACAGTTACTGTTACTACAGTCAGTGACCTGGACCTCTCGGGAGCACGCCTGCTGGGGCTGGACGGTCAAGAGGTAACGCTTCTGTTTGCGTGAATGTTTTAGGGGTACGTTACACATTTGTGGATTTTGTAGGTACAGTATGAAAAAGTATCACTCAAGTCATTAGAAATTCTGGGTTGAGAATTAATCTGGGTTGTTTTTTCCCAATCTCCTGCATTTTATCAATTAAAAAATCTTTATACAAATACTTATTTTTTTAAAATGCAAGGGCAATCTAAGGCATTCCTTCTTGTATGTGAGAGAAGAGGGGGAGATTCCTCTTCTAAGATGATGCTGGCTTCAACACAGAGGCATCATCCCCCCCCCCCCTATATACTTAGTTTTTAAACTATTGCTTTTTTCTTAGAGCCAGTTGGGTTGAAGTGGTTAAGTGCGCGGACTCTAATCTGGGAGAACTGGGTTTGATTCCCCACTCCTCCACTTGCACCTGCTGATGTGACCTTGGGTCAGTCACAGGCTCTGGCACAGCTGTCCTTGAAAAAGAGCAGTTTGTGTCAGAGTTCTCTCAGCCCCACCCGCCTCACAGGGTGTCTGTTGTGGGGAGGGGAAGGGAGAGGAGTTTGTAAGCCGCTCTGAGACTCCAAGTGAAGGGCGGGGTATAAATCCAATCTCCTCTTCTTCTTATGTGCAGATTTAATATATTCGTTATCTAATACTACTCAGCATTTAGTTAGCATTTGGGGGGAGGGGATTCAAAGTATTTCATGCCCAGCGTTTCAGTAGGCCCTACAAATCACCATAAGTCAGCTGTTAACTTGGCAACACTTTACACACACACACGCACACACACTAATAATAATAATAATATACTTTATTGTCATTGTACATAGTACAACGAAATTAAGGTGCAATCATTCGGTGATCTACAAGCATACTCATATACACTCACACAACCATACTCATATACACTCACACAACCATTAGGGTTCACATTGCAACTTAACCACCAATGTCACCCAAATTCCAATTCATACAGCATTTAAAGCAATAATAGCTCTCGAATAAAAACTGTTTTTTAATCTGTTTGTCCTTGTTTTGATTGTCCTATATCTTCTACCCGAAGGCAGCAGTTCAAACAGGGAGTGTTCAGGGTGTGACAAATCTTGCAAAATGTTCTTTGCTTTTTTCAAGCATCGAGAACTATACAATTCCTCCATGAGTGGGAGAGGACAGCCAATAATCTTCTGGGCTGTGATGATAACTCTCTGGAGTGCTTTCCTATCCACAGCCGTACAACTGGCAAACCAGACACAGACACAGTATGTTAAATTGCTCTCTATTGAGCAGCGTTCTCCACCAATAAACAGTGGCTGAATATCCGCAGTACTACTTCCCTCCCCATGCCTATACAACTAATCCTTAGAACACCCCTGTATAGTAGGCCAGTGTTATCTGTATGTTGCAGATGGTGGGAGAGGTTAGGTGTTTCTAATTCTGCTAAGTGGCTGAAACTTGTATTGGGAATTCCTTGATCAGGACAGATCTGCACTTGTAAAACTTCTCCTGTATTCTCAGAACTGATTAGCATTCAAAGGGAACAATTTCTGTAACATCCCCTTCTCTAATGTCCGCACGTATTTATCTGCACTTTAGTGAGTCATTTGGCTAATTGTACCTGAGAAGTAAATGTTTCTTCTGGCAACTGCCAGCTCTTTGAATGGTGCTTTGTGGCTTTTCATTAGGAAGATGCCGAACCAAAAGGAGAAGATGATGTCTCAAGGAAATCAACATGCACGTTGCCTAAGAAATCTAGAGACCCCTTCCTCTCTGAGAGGTAACTCTAAGACTGTTCTATCCTTCCTTTGACTGTAAAAACATGGAACATCCCATCTATCCTCTGAAGAGGCTGCTGAAAGATTATTAGTTTGTGTTGGGGTGGGGGGAGAATCTCCCCCCCCCCCATTTTTTAATCTGTGTAAAAGCTGCTGTTGGATGTGTACTCTCTGCAGTGTGGAAAAGAGAAGGACTTTGTACCCTTCCCTTGCCTGCCTTTTTCTGCATGAAATATCCAAACCCAGTTTTTTACCTATTTGGTGGCAACTTGCATTCTAATACACTGGTTGCTTCTTGCTCTGTAAACACAGTAAAATTCTGATTCCCTGATGCGCCACAAGAGGGCAGCCAACTTCTTATTGTTGTCGTTGCTCATACTATCTAAGGAGCAAATGAAGTCTGTGTTGACTTATGAGTTACTTTTAAAAATTCTATCCCAACAATGTGGGTTTTATGCTGTTTTTTTTTTTTTAATGTTATACTATTATGCTTGAAGTGCTGTAAAGAAAAGCACTTCAAAAAAAGCACAAAAGCAAAGTAAAACTGAATAAGGAATCCAAAGTACACACATCTCCCTTATAAATAAAAACCGAATGGTGGTGGCACTTCTCTAGAACATTCCACTTGCTCCAAAATCAGTTCGCTCTATGATCTGTCATTCAGAGGGTCTCCCTATCCACTGGCTGCTTTGCCTGAGTCCTGCCTCCAACATTCTAAACATTTTGCTCTTCCTCTCCCCCCCATAGCCAGTCAGAACACAGAGGTTATTTGCATATGCAGCCTCATTGGCCTCTGTCTCGGAAAACAGAGGTCGTTTGCATATGCGACTTGATTGGCTTTTGCCTCTAACATTCTAAACAGTTTTGCTGTTCTGAGGTAAAATGTGTCCAATCGCCAGGTGAGGGCTGGAGATAACTCAGAATTACAACTGCTTTCCAGGTGGCAGAGATCAGTTCCCCTGGAGAAAATGGTGGGCTCTGTATCCTTATATGCTGCTGAGGTGGCCCCCATATGACAGCCAATGTGACGTAGCAGTCAGGGCTTCAGAGCACGGGAGAGGCTGCAGGTGTGTGGGGGGTGGAAAGCTGAAGAGTGAGGGGGAAATAAAGGTAGGTTGATGATTGGCTGGGAAGAAGATAGGGTTGCCAACTCCAGGTGGGAAATTCCTGGAGATTTGAGGGATGAAGCCTGGAGAGGGTGAGGTTTCAGGAGGTGTGGGGCCTCGGACAGGTATAAAGCCATAGACTCCACCCTCCAAACCAACTATTCCCTTCTGGGGAACCATCGTTGCCAATCTCCTGGTGAGGACTGGAGATCACTCAAAATTACAACTGTTCTTTAGGTAGCAGAGATCAGTTCCTCTGGAGAAAATGGTGGACTCAGTGTCATTATACCCTGCTGAGGTCGCCACAGCAAATTGACACTGAGTGTCCAAGGACGGGGCACCCGCCCAGAGCCTCTTTCTAGAGGCCGTTGTATTTATTTCCACAACGGGCCTTTTTCCTAGTATGATATAATACCTGTTCGGATAACTTGAGTTGCATTTAGGAAGGCAAGACAGGATTGGAGGGACATGGACAAGGACAGCCATGATTGGGGTGGAGGAAGGTTGTGTGGCTGTGATATTGCAGCTAAGACTAGGCTGGGGATGGTCTTTGTAGAAGAGTTAGGTCTCGAGGAAAGAGGCTTGATGAATCCTTTCAGTAATACGAAACAGTACGGTGGCTTGCAGGAGGCAGTTCCACGGGTGTGTTTTAGTGTACTGTATTCTTTCTTCGAGGAGCCCTAAGTGTCTTGCATGTGTGTCCCGGTCACTGCTGTCGAGTTGCAGAACTCTCCCATGTTTACCTTCCTTGGTTTCCATTTGTTCGGGAGAAATGAGGGCATATATATTTTAAACAAATAAATATACCTGCTTAGTATCTGCGTCATGTGCCTTCTGATGAAGTTGTCTCCTAGTATTGGGGTGGGGCAAAGTGGGAGGAAAGGGAGCTGGGCATGAGGAGCTCTGTAGTAGACCAGAAACTTTGCATGGCTCTAGAACTGACTGTCTTCCACTCTATATAGGATCTCTTCGCTCACCACCTCGCTGCATACCCGTAGTCAGAGAAAGACCAAAGGCAAGCTGTCTAGGCAGAGTCAAAGCATAAAGAAGAGAGCCCAGAAACCAAGTACAGGCCGAACCAGCAAGTCTCAGCGTCGAAGAATGACGGGCAAAGGCCGGCGTGTTCGAGACTGATGACCAAAAGGAAAGGAAGGGGCGTGGCCTGAGCAGAAGCAAATGGCTGCTCGGCAGCATGGCTTACTGGGAAAGACCATTTTATACAGATTGTGTCTCCGTTGTTGGAGAATTGCTGTTGAGCTGCAGAAGTCTCCTAAACTAATTCAGGAGCTGAGGAGTGTTGGGTAAATGCTTCATTTTGCATGCACACTCCTGCCCCTAAGGAAGTTTGCTTGTACTGCGTGGGGCTCTCTCAGCAGAAATCTTGCTTTCCTGTGAGAGAATTGGGCAGGGGAGCGTGCTTCCCTCTCTCCCTGTCCAGGTGTGGGTGATGGCCAGATCCATTTAAACATCAGAAGTCTCCTGGAAGTGTCCACTTGGCATTCATGTTCTTGCTCTTGTATGAATGGTTTCTCACCTCTGTGACATCCCAGACCATTCCTCCCAGGAAATCTGGTGCCATGGATTCTTACTGCACAATGCTGTGTTCCAGTGGGTGAACAGACACAGTAACAGTTCTTCTGGGGGTGTTTCTGTTGTTGATAAATAAATTTTGTAACAAAACTGTGCGTTTTTATTCTTACACTTGAGAGGCAAGAAGTTGTGCCCGCTACTGTTACTTATGGCGGGCCAGTGACCAAACGCTTTACAACTTACATTGTGTTTATCCTCCCATGCGGCCTCCGATTGCTTTCTACTCCCGTATCTTTGAAATGAGAACTCGGAGACTTGCTCGTGGCTCCAGGCAGCAAGGCTGTGGCAGAAATGAGTTGGGATCCTAGGTCTCCCAGATCAAAGGCCACCATCGTACACATAAAAAAAATGCCCAGGCTCCGAAAAAGCACTAGTAGGGCAATACTCCTTTTAGGAGCACCTTAAAATATCACAGAGTCATGAGCAAGCTTTTCAGGTTTTCTTCAGACTGGAAAAACAAAGTGTCAAGGGCGGAGGGGATGTTTTTATCTAAGCCTGCGGATTCTGAAAATCTGAATATAGACCAGGAGAGTCCCCTGCCTTTCTCCCCGTTGCGGAACCAAAGTGATTTACAGTGTTCTCCTTTCCGCCATTTGATCCCCACAAGAATCCAGGGAGGTACGTTAGGCTGAAAGTGGTTGGCCTGAGCTCACCCAGCAAATTGTATACTGGGTTTTAACTACTGTAAGCCGCCCTGAGCAGCTTCGGCAGGAGGGCGGGGTAAAAGTCTAACAAATAAATAAAATAATAAATAATTAGCTTGCCCGGCAAGGTGGGGGCTGTAACCTGGCTCTCCAAGAGGCTTGTCGGACACTAAACACTATATAACACTGGCTCTCAGTTTCCGAATCTTTCTTAAACTTCAAAAGCAAGAAGGAGCTGAAGGGTTTTATTTAGAAAATAGAAGGGGGGGAAATCCTTAGGTTATGGGACAGGATACACTGTTTCTTTGATCGCAGCTGCTATCTGTTGCTTGCGTGGAAGGTCTCGGGGAGCGGGGAGAATGTCTTTTCTTCCAGCAGAAGCTGATACTTTTTTAAAAGTGTCTTGTGGACTGCTATTTACATAATCTCTGTACAACCCAGCGGCAATCAGCTGACCAGGGATCCCTTTAGCCATGTGTGAACTAGAAAAGTCAGCTGTTATTGGCCTCTTGTGCAACAGCACAGACTGGATTGTTCGGGAAATGATTCTAGCTCACAGGTCTGCCAAAGAAGTTCTGTTTAACTAACAACATGTTAAAATTAGGCCCTACTTAACTCTTGGATGCTGCATGACTCTGCTGCGGGGCTGGTCTTAATTAGCACAGCTTCTCTAAATTTGAGATGCCACGGTTGTTGTTTTTTAAAAAAATAACACCACCCAGTTATGGCACGTATAGAAACATAGGTTGAAATGACAGGCTGGATCATTGGAAAGCCTGCCCAGATGTCACAGGGTAATGTGTTGCTTATATAATTCCTGCTCTGAAAGCTACAAAAGCCTGGTTGGCAACTAATGTGGACTGGGCCATATTTTGCATTCAGCAGGGGCTGCTGAGGCTGCAGTATTTACTGTGCCCCCTGACTGGCTTCCTCTACGAGCCAGAAACGGAAAGGGGTTCCTTAAGCCTCCTCTGGGCCTGCTCTGTCTTGCTTGCCTTGCATCAGCTCTTGGTGGGAGAGCTCTTATTCACCCACACAGCAGGGTGGGGGTTAGAGTCCTTTGACTGGGTTTTGGCTCAGAGGAAAGGTGCTGAAAAAAAAAATAGGTACAGGGTGGTGTCTGGCACTTGGGACCTGATTTGGAACAGTGCTGATACGAAGGCCCTGTGGGCTGGATTTGGGGTCCAGGGTGCCAATTGCCCACCCCTGCCTGAGAATATTGGGTCCTGCACCAACGAATAAAGTTTTGGGTGCGTTTGGGCTGGGTGAAGGATTGGCATGGTTGTACACCATGCTCTTGCGGGGGACCAGTGGGGGAAGAATGCGCTGTCAATTCCTTGGGGTAAGAGGTGTAGCTGGTCTCATCCCTGCAGTTTATTCTAGGCTACTCAAATACTATTCCCTTGCAGAGCTTCAGCAACAGGCTTGGACTTTGAGTCTGCAAAGGGGCTGTAAATGCAGTGAGGCATTTGCTGACAGCTGTCCTTCCTGACGGCAGTGTACAGGTCTACAGGCAGGTCCCCTCTTCTGTTGGGACAGAAGGGAAAAAAGCATTTGGGCAGGTGAATCAGGACCTTGCATGGTGCCATGAGGCCAGAGTAGGTGCTGTGAGATGGAAAGCCAGAGTAGGTGCTGTGGGATGAACACGGCTTTCTGTAGTAACCAGACAACTTCTGGACCAGTCTTCGGGTCTATTTGTAAGTGGAGACGGTGATCAGAAGTGTGTTTGAAATTACCCATGCTGATATGGGAGGCTGTTTGTCCAAGAGAGTGTGCGTGTCTTGTGACTCAAATCCTGTGAGGATTTTGGTATGTAGCTCACAGGATTAAGCACGTAGGCGACTCCTGGTGATGGACTAAAAGCCAGAAGCAGGAACTTTGTGGCATTTGATGGATGTTTTTTAAAGCAGCCTGCTGGTTTCTAGGTTTGTTGTGAGTGTGATTTTGTTTCTTTCACCGCTGTTATGGTCATTACCAAGTTTAGGGTCTGGCTCTTGGCTGGCTTCGGATGTGTTCTCTCTGCCTCAATTTGTTACCCCAGCAAAAGAATGGAAAAGGGATGGGTGGAAGGTCTGATTTCTTTACACAAAACACAGATAAACGGGATCTCCCACTTCTGAGTAACCAATATTGTCTTCCCACATTCCTGGTCTGTTGAGAACAAATAACAGCTAAGCGCCTTGCACCCAAACAATGATTTCTGTGAATCTTTCACTTTCATGTAACCAGTAGCGTGTAATCCTCTGAAACTAACACCACGAAGCAGTCCTCATTCTGGATTTTACAAAATCCAGATGAGATTTCAAATACTGATTGGCACCGTTCTGTTTCACTAGAATGCAAAGTGCCAAACAACCCAGTCCTATTCCTGAGTTACAGCCGCTGGATGGGGGATAGAGCTGGCGTCTAAATCCATGATGCTGGCACTGCGGAGTTAAGGCAGTGTAATGATATAGTTACGCCGGCGGAATCTTAAATCCCAGAGATATGGAAGGCATATGATACAGGAGCACTGCTGAAGCCGAGCAGGTGTGGGTCTCGCTGGCCAGTGCCTGGATGGGCGACCTCCTGGGAAGTGTTGGGTTTCAGGACCAAAGAAAAGGCAGAGTATAGCTGGAGTTAAGTAGCTGCTGCTATTAAGTGCAGAGAGTTATGTTGCCTGATTCTAATGGCATACGGGAGAACGTGGGTGGAACTGGTGTGTTGAGGGGGAGGAACGGCTAGCTTAGTTCAAGCCCAGCCCTCTCGGTAGCTAGACTTTCCCCCCACCCATGTAAAAGTACACTATTAAATGTGGCTCTTGGAAGTAAGTGCAAATCCTTTGGAGACTGTACAGTGCCCAAGATCGCTGCCTCCCTCCAAAGAATGTCTCTGTATAATATTACGTAAGACAAGCCTTGCCCCATCAGACCAATAGTCCCTCTAATCCAGCATTCCTGTTTCCAGCAGTGGGCAGTTAGATGCCACAGGGAAGCCCACAGTCAGGGCACACAGACAGCAGCCCTCACTTGCTGATCACTACCTGCCACCACCTGATAACTAGAGATCCCACTGAGATATCATAGCTGATAGTGAACAATAGATTTAGTCCCTCCATAAGTCTGCCTAACTTCCCTTTAAATCCATCTAAGTGGGTAGGCACAGCATCAGATCTTGTGGCGGTGAGTTCCACAAGCCAACACCCCAGTGTGTGAAGTAATGCTGTCTAGACTCTATTGCCGATTGATTTCTAAGATGACCCCAAATTCTGCTGTTATGGGAGAAGGAGAAAAGCTTCTGTTCACTTTCTCTGTACCATACATAATTTTGTGGACCTCTGTCATGTTACCATGAATACAAGGGTACGAGCCGGTGTGTCGAAGCAGTTAGAATGTCGGATTAGGATCTGGGAAACCAATGTTTGAATCCCCACTCTGCCATGGGAGGCTGCTGGGTGACCTTAGCCAGTCATACACACTCTCCTAACCTACCTCACAGGGTTGTTGTGAGGATAAAATGGAGGAGAGGGAAATGATGTATGCCTCTCTGTGTTTCCATTGGAGAGGACGATGGGGGTATAAATGAAGGGATGAAATAAATAAGTATACCTGCAGTTTTATTCTCTATCCCTTTCCTGATGATCCCGAGTATGGATTTTGCTATTGTTATTGCCACTGCATACTCAGTTGGCTTTTTCACTGAGCTATGCAGCACAAGGCAAAAACTCTTTCCTGGCCTATCCCCACCAATGCTCAACTTTTCTTTAATGAACTTCTCTAACTATTGTATAGCACTAATGGTGCAACCCTATGCAGGGTTACACCCATCAATGGGGTCAGACTGCTGAAACTCTTGTTCCCTCTAAGCTGTGGAGTCTTGTGAGCAAAAATTCTACTGGCATTCAATTTGTAAGCGAGCGATTCGGCTGCTGCATAAATTAGTTTGCTCTGGAGCCATCCTTCCTGAGCTAAGGCAAAAATGTGTGAGCCGGAGGCTACAAAACTACGAGCTAGCTCACACTAACTCAGCTTAGAGGAACACTGCTCAGGAGAGAGGCAAACTGAGAGTAAAGAAATGGAGGGTGGCTGTAGGAATCAAGCATTTAAGAAAGCAAAAAGGCCGTGACAAATGGAATAATTGCTGTGGACTCCAGTGATCAGCCTGTCCTCAACCTGTCCTCAAAAAAGATGAGAGAAGTATCTGCTTCACCTTGTAGCTTTTTTACAGAAGATCTTGAATTTCTTTAAAAACACCAATTTATATTTGCATTTTGATGATGTAAAAGGGATTAATTAGTGGTTTCACAAAATCTGTGACTTCCCACCCACTACAGGTGTTACCCATCTTAGTATAAGAAGTGAATGAGTCTCTGTAT